TCTTTGAAGAAATGGTTGATTTCAGATTCAAAGAAGGAAATATGTGAGATAATTCTGTAACTGGAAAAAAAATCTTTAAATATTTGGAGTGAAAAATCAGCTTCTAACTAAACTAAAGCTGTAAAGAAGGAGAGAGTTGTTAAAGTTCTTATGAGTACTTGAGTTCAGTTACCTGGGCTCTGGTCTTCAAACCCAAGTCCTCACCCTTGAGCTAACTCCCTAGCAGGGGCAGGCTTTTAATCAGAGGTTTTTGGGTTCCCCCCATTTTTTTTCAACCAAAATGACTGTTGTCTGCTCCTTCTACCCCACAGTGTATATAACAGTGTCTTTAAAATGATTAAACTATATTTCAATAGTATCTAAGCTGATTTATGAGTTCTAGCTCTACGTTAGTGCTTGTTTTGTAATTTTAGTGACCAGGTATGTAAATAACAAATTCCTACAGAACTGGGAATTTATAGCCTGGTTTTCTGTTTGTAAGTGAGTTCTAATACTTAGATAAGCAACAGTGTTTTAGTAGGGTTTCCATTCCTGTGATAAAACACCATGACCAAAGACTGCTTAGGAAGGAATGGTTTTATTTCATCTTATACTTCTAGGTAACAGTCCACCACTGAGAGGTGTCAGGGCGCAGGGAGATGGGGTCAGGAACTAAAGCAAGGCCATGGAGTACTGCTTACTGACTTGCTTTTGTTTGGCCTGCTTTCTCTTTTGCCCAAGGGTAGCACTACTCACAATGGGTTGGGCACTCCCACATCAATCTTCCATCATGAAAATGCCCTACGGCCAATCCTGTGGAAGCATTTTCTTAATATTTCTTCTTCCCAGATGACCCTACCTTGTGTCATGTTAACATAAAAAACCACCTCTGTATTTGTTATTATTTATTAACTTATCATTTATTAGTATTTATGATATTACCTATATTATTCTATATTTATCAAATAGTGTGTTAAAATCAAGTTATGTGAACATATAAACACTTTAAAGAGAATAAAGATTTAGGCACAGACTACTTATTGTAAGTTTTAAATATTCTTGGTGTAATCACATGTACTGAGATGATCTAGGCAGAGTTTAGTCGTGTGAAAGCCACAGCAGAGGTTTGTTCTATAAAGATATAGAAATGAAAAAAAAGTAAATTTGCTGTTCATTAAACTATAAAATTGAAGTTATATACTCAAAATTGCTTAATCTCTAATGGTTTGTTGTTGTGGTAGACAATCTTAACTGTGGTTTGAAGAAAACAGGCATTTCTTTAACTGAATGGGGTTAGGGTTAGAAGGCCCAGTAAGAGCCAAGATAGCATGAAGCATTGTTAGGACTTAACCAGAAGAGTATTATTAGATTGAGGAAGCTCAAGAGTTGTGAAAGCCTTGAAAAATCTTCTAAATCTTGCAAAGTCTGATCTGCCACACTTTTATGACTTGTTCAAAGATAGAATGCAGCACAGCCTTGTTGCTGCTTGTTGGTGCCTAGTACCTCCAGAGATTGTGGTGTGGAGACAGGGACTTAGACTATGTCACAGGTAAAGAACCACTGACATGGTGAAACCTACCGTCACTGTAGTGAGCTGTGCAAAACCCTGCTTCTCTCAGCAGAAGGGCGACACCTCTCTCAAGGTTACTGTTTACAAGTGCACAATCAGCCAGACCCTGTAAGAAAATGTGGTAGGTATTCATCATGCCGTGATGGATTGCTTATTCATCAGGGGAGCTGAGGAGGGAAACCAAAGAATTTCTTTCTCAGCTAATTTCCTTTGGAAACATTTTTACTTGAATAAAATTGGTAGACAGCAAACTATAAATATTAAAAGCATACAAGTTGGTAAGTTTGGATTTTGAGAGCAGGTCTCTGCTCTGTGTGGCCCTGGCTGTCCTGGAACTCACTCTGTAGACCAGGCTGGCCTCAAACTCACAAGAGATCTGCTTGCCTCTGCCTCCTGAGTTCTGAGTTTAAAGGCATGTGCCACCACCATGTTTTGACTCTTACATAACCTTGTGAGAATATCACAGCAATAAAATTAAGCCAAACCTATAATCCTAGTACTTTGGAGGCTGAGGCAATTACAAGTTGATGCCAGACTGGACTACAGGCCAGCCTGAACCTTTTATGATTCTTTTCCACCTCATTTTATTTCCATCCCCCAACATACACTGATCTTTTCATATATGTATGTTTCCATGTCATAGAATTCTGTACAGATTAAATGGTACAGTGTAGATTATGTATTTTTACTTGTCTGTCCTCTTTCTGATGTGTGCTTTTATTAAGGGTTATCCATGCTTTAGTGTGCTTTTGTTACTAGGTATTATTCATATGTATTATTTTGTGTGTATTCTAATCTTGTCATGTCACTGTTGATGCCTCCTAAAGTAAAGGTGCTTTTACTATTTATGTACAAGTCCTTATATGGACATACTGTTCTTTCTCTTGGATATTGCCTATCTGGGAATGTAAAATGGCAGAACTCACACAGACACACACACACACACACACACACACACACACACACACACACACACACACAGTGTATGAAAGTTTCATTTTTATATCTTCACCATTTTATATAGACATTCATTTTGTTTCTTTTTAAAGACATTTGAACAATTGATATATTTGGTTTCATTGTGGTTTTAATTTATTGAAGATGTTTAGTGTTTTCTAGTCCTTATTTGATGGTCCCCTATAAAACAATTTTCCTACTTTATATGCTCCAGTTATAAATTCTTGTCAGTTATGTAGGGATACATTTTACCATTCTGGACTTGCCTTGTTATAATCTCAGCAGTGCCTATTCAGGAAAAGACATTTTTGATTTAGATTCTCTGTGATTTCTTTCATTACCATGACTGGAGTTTCATACCATGTCTTAACCCATGGAGAGGGAAGTTTCCCCTGGAAGGTTAAATCTTTTGTCAATTGGTTTCTGTATAAGGCACAACGGTATTAATTGCAAAGGGTGTGCATATAAATATTCAGTTGTTAAATTTCTTGACATAGGCCCTCACCAACTTACCTTTGCACTTTTGTCAAAAATTGAGTTCCATGTGTTTGTCCATGAACTTTTGTATTCTCTATGATGCTGTTACTGTGTGTGCTGCTTCTTATCCAATACCCAGTTGTTTTGATTACCATAGTTTTGCCAGTCTTGAAACCATACAGAGTTTGTCCTCAAACTCATTTTCTCAAAGTTGATTTTGCTATTCCATTTCTATAGGAATTTTTAGTCGTTTTCTTAATTTCTACAAAAGGTCTGCACTGATTTTTGTATGAGATTACATTTAATGTGTAGATTAACCTGGCCATAATCCACATGTAGCAACTAATCTGCTGAACTATTTAGGTGTTCTTCACCTCAGCATTGTTCCCACACTGTCTTCATAGTTAGGTACAGGGCGAGGAGTTCATCTCTTAAATACTGTTGTCAATGTATTCTTTTAAAACTTCAATTTTTGTTTGGTTATTGTCAGTATACAGACATGGATTGTTTGCTCATTGAACTTACACACAGCGACTGAACTCTTGTCTGTTAACTCTCATAGATGATCACCTGCCTTTTATATGCCACCTACTGCTCTGACAGTGCCGATCCCACTGCAGGGTTTCTAGACTCTTCTCTTGTGCTGTGGGCGTCCATTAGAATTGTTATTAGAAGTAATTGTTAGGGTTTTTATTTTTTCTTTCAAATATTTTTTCTATTAAAAGATAATGTAGTTTTTCTTAGGAGTTTGTTAATATGATGAATAATACTGACTGATTCTAAAATGTTAAAACTAGTGATTAATTCTTGAAATAATTCTCCTCAATCATGCTGCATCCTCTTTAAATGTTGCTGGATTAGATTTGGAAAAGTTTTCTTTTTAATGTTTGTACCTATATTCATGAGAAATGTTACTCTTTTTAATAGATATATATTGTATAGTGTTCATTGGTGTTTTGCCTGCATGTATGTCTGTGTAAGGAAGGGTGTCAGAAACCCTGGAATTGGAGTTATAGATAGTTGTGAGCTGCCATGTGGGTGCTGAGGATTGAATCTGGATCCTCTGAAAGAACGGTCAGTGCTCTCAATCGCTGAGCCATTTCTCCAGCCCCAAAAAGTATTACTCTTTTTATTTGTTTCCCTTTACTGTCTTTGGTTTTGGTATCAAAACTTTTAAGAAAATTAGGTAGACAGTGTTCAAGAAAGAAATAGTAGGCCCAGAGAGGTGGCTCAGCAGCTAAATGCACTGGCTACTCTTCCAGAAGACCTGGGTTCAATTCCCAACACCCACATGGCAGCATACAACTGTCTGTGCCTCCAGTTCCAGAAGATCTGACAATTTCACAAAGACATACATATGGACAAAACACCAGTGTACATAAATAGAAATATATTTTATTTTAAAAAAAGAAATAGTTAGATCTGATTTTTCAATGTAACTTTTTATTTTAATCAAGAGAAAGATACATTCAACTAAAATTGTGAATGTTGTCTTTTTAAAATTTTTTTTTTGGTTTTTTGAGACAGGGTTTCTCAGTGTACCTCTGGCTGTCCTGTAACTGTCTCTGTAGACCAGGCTGGTCTCAAACTCAGAGATCCACCTGTCTCTGCCTCCCAACTGTTGTGATTAAAGGCATGCACCACTACCACCTGCCCAAATTTTGTCTGTTTTTAATGTGGATAACATTTCATAGTATATAGTCTTTGTACCAAATGCAATGAATTATTGACATCATTTTCAAAGTTGTTGTTGGAACATATTGTTTGTTTATTCTTCAGTATTGGTCTGTTTGCTACATACTCATGTTCAAAGCAAATATTTATTTACTACCTTGGTGGTGGTGCACACCTTTAATCCCAGCACTTGGGAGGCAGAGGCAGGCAGATCTCTGAGTTTGAGACCAGCCTGGTTTACAAGAGCTAGTTCCAGGACAGGCTCCAAAGCCACAGAGAATCCCTATCTCTTTACTACCTCTTATTGCCTTGTGATTTATCTAATACATATTTTGTTTGTCAGCTTCTATGTTTTTGAAACAGGCATTTGAAGGTGAATACCCTAAACTATTACGTCTTTATAATGACTTATGGAAGCGTCTTCAACAGTACAGTCAAAATACCCAAGGGAATTTCAGAACAAGTGGGACTGCTGACCTCTGCATTGAAACCCCCCACATGGAAGATGATACACAAGACATGTTCATCCTGAAAAGGCCGGATTATGAGTATGCTTTATTTAATGTGAATGAATAGGTTATTGACATTTTAGGAATTTTATTTTCTATTTTTCCTTATAAATCAGAAATTGAGAATATACTAAGCTTCTAAGTCTTCTAAATGAATGATTGGTGTATTTTGTAAAACTTGTACTGCAAACATTAAATTGACTTGTGGCTGAGCATTGTATCTTCTGCCAGAATAGTTTTGAAGTTTACCACTATGCTAGGTAACAAGAATCTGGGTAATAAGTAAATGCAGTCTTTGCCTTTGAGGTGATCTGAAGTGTGCTGAAATTACCAGGGAAATAAATCTTATTCTGGGATAGTTCCTCAGTCAATGTTTTATAAATTACGAAGTACAGTCAAACTTATCCCAGATAATCCCTTCAGTCACCACAAAGCACATATTTTTAACCATTTTGAAGAACTAGATTGGAAACCAATATTATTGGGTCCATGAATTCTACACTGGCAGCCTTCCACAAAAACTGATAAGGATTATACATACCTGTGTAAGTGCCAGATTAGGTTATTAACTTTTCTCCAATTCTACAGTCCTGTTTATTTTCACAACACTGACTAAAGTAGCAGTGAATACTTGTCTCTTACTTAGTAAGAAAAAACACTGGGTAAGTTCCTGGTAATGTTAGCTGCTTGTTTGACTTTTAGAATTTTCCCTAAGACAGCTGGTTATATCTGCTCATACTGACTAATGAAGTACATTGCCAGGTTAGACTGGACTAGTGGGTTGAGACCAGATTGTCTCCTCAAAAGCTGTTTTGTGATAAAAGGCAGATTAGCTAAAACATAGCTCAAGGGGAAACAAACCTACAGACATTTACTAATACATTAACAAGGAGTTGATATAAACTACTACGTTCAATATCAGTATTTCTGCCATAGCTTTATTTTCAGTCCATGCATATGCACTAGGAAAGACTTGAAAGCAGCACAAACTGGTGGGAGTAATACTGCGTCTCCAGAAAAATAGAATTCTGATTTTGTGCTTTTTGCTAGTCCAGATGTCTGCATGGTCAAGAAACAGAGAAAATACAAAAGGCTTTGTTTCCAAGTCTCTGTCCATGAATAGGTGGCCCCAGTGCTTTTGGGATCTGGGCAAGGCAGCAACAACAAAGACATCGTGGAGGGAAGCAGTCCAGCTCATAGTGGCCATGGGGCAAAGAGGAGAGAAGGGGCAGGAGACAAGACACGGCTCTCAAGGGCTTACTCCCAGTAACCTGCTCCTTCCCCAGGGCACTGCTACCAGCTTTCCACCCTTTCCTGGGTAATCCACCTGTATGCTGAAGCCGTTAAGGATTTCATCCATTTGTTAGGTCAGAGCCCAAAAAAGTTTATGCAGCTTCCAAAAGCCCATTGCTGGCAGCTAGGCTCCCAATATATGAGTCTGTGAGGGACATCTCATATTCTAATCATAACAGTTTGGCACTGGCACAAAGATAGATTAGAATTCAAAGTGTGGAAAGAGGTGCATAGTCGGGCAGTGGTGGTGCATGCCCTTAATCCCAACACCCAGAAAATATTTATACATATAGCTGAGAGCTAACTTAGAGCTAGACTATATAAATATTTCCATATCTAATTAAAAATGGACAAAAGATCAAAATTGACATATCTCCAAACAACATAGATGGCCTATAAACACATAAAAAGAGACTAAACATCAAGTAAGAAGGCAAATATGTCAAACCTAAAAGACTACTATTTCATGCTCATTGGGATGCTTATAATCAGAGACAGGTAGCAGAACATATTAGCAAGTATGTAGAGAAACCAGAGCCATTATATGCTGGTGGTAGATATCTGAAATGACATAGGACTTTGAAAAGTAGTTTGGGGTGAGTATTGGCTGGAGAGAATGGCTCAGAGCTTAAGAGCACTGGCTGCTCTTCCCTAGGTCCTGAGTTCAATTCCCAGCAACCACAACCACATGATGGCTCACAGTCCTCTATAATGGGATCTGATGGCCTCTTCTGGTGTACAGGGGTACATGCAGAGAGATCAAGTCTTAATTTTTTTTAAATTAAAAAAAGAAAAGGAGTTTTACATTTCCTCAAACTATTAAATAGATCACTTCCATAAAACCAGTATTTTTCACTCCTAGGTCTGTAACCAGGAGAAATAAAAACATGTTCACACAAAGCTTTGTATACAAATGCTATAAACTAAAAGATGGAAGTAGCCTAAATATTGCTTGCGATATTGATAATTGAAAGAAAGCTTTATCTATAAATGAACTCATACTCTTTTTTTGATAAGTTAAAAAAAACTTTATCCATAAATGAACATTACTTACTCATAAAAGAAAATAAAGCACTAATAAATGTGCCAATGAATTGAGAACATGGGTGAACTTCCAAAACATTACATCAAGCTAAATGAAAGAAATCAATGGTAAAGCATACACAACATTCATATGAAAATCTAGAATAATGGTATTTGAGGAAACAAAATGTAGCTTAGTGGTCATATAGAATTGGGCATAAAGTATATATGTATGTTGGTTGAGATAAGGTTCTTGGGGGGCTGTCTAGACGCAGGGTTCATCTGTGTAGCCCTGCCTGTCCAGGAACTCTGTATAGATCAGGCTGGACTCAGTCTTAGAGATTCTTGACTCCCGAGTGCTGCCACCATGCCAGCTTCTTTTTCTATTTTTTAAAATGTATTTATTTTATGTATATGAATACCTGCATGTATGTATATGTACCACATGGCCATGGAAGTTATCAGAAGGTGTTGACTCCCCTGAAACTGGAATTATAGATGTTTACGAACCATCATGTAGGTTGTAGGAAATCAACTCAGATCCTCTACAAGAACAGCCAGTGTTCTTAACCACTGAGCCATCAACTGAGTGTGCTGACTGATGATTTCAAGGATCTTAAATATAAAACCATTGAAATGTTGATTTTAAGAAGTTGAATTGTACAATATGTAAATTTATTTTAATAAACCTCTTTTTAGTGAAAAACGAGGAGGTACATTATATTGTAGTCAGCAGTTTTGGTCCGTGAGACTGAGCAGCTATAGTGGTGGAACTGTAACTGTGGGTTGATCTTCAGGCTTCTTAATACTAAACATTGTAGAAATGATTAATGGCATTTGCTTTCTGATATCTCACTTTAGTTTTCTTCTAGCACTTAGTACTATCATTATAAATTGAGTTAACTCATGACTTACTTAAAAAAATGTGTGTATGAATATTCTGCTTGAATGTATGTCTGTGTGCCATTTGCACGCCTAGTATCCATGGAGCCCAGAAGAGGGTGTTGGATCCCTTGAAACTGAAGCTACAGAAGATTGTGAGCTGCCATGTGGGTGTTGAGAGTTGAACCCAGGTCCCCTGAAAAAGCAGCCAATGTTCTTAACCATTACATACTACCTGTCCAGCCTGATGTTTGACTCTCTTGTTAGCTTGTGAACTTTCTAAGACCAATGTAATTTTTTTTTTTTTTTTTTACCAAGCACATTGCAGAATTTCCATGTCCATGAAATACTTGGCAGATTATAAAGACTTAGTGATATTTGTGGGAAGAGAAGAGATAGGAAAGTGTGGAACATATATAAAGTCACCTTTATAGTTGAACTTCACCAGCCCGCTTTTCCCTGGACCATAAAGTACTATTTATTTTTATCTTCTCACCACTTATCAAAGTGCTTGGTGCCTTGTCCCAGGAAATATGTGTTGACTGAAATACCTACTGAATGAGAAAGCCTCAAGAGATAACTGTGGAATTGTGCATCAAGAGCCAAGAGCAGTCTGACCTCTAGGCTTATGGGTTGACAGGAGGGGTGAGAAAAAGAGAGATGTTGCCTGTACACAGAGAGGTCACATGTTGTCATGGTTGACATGTAAGACAAAGGGAAGTTTGCTTTTTAAGGAAGAAGAGTAGAGTGGAAAACACTAGTGAGGGATGGTAAGACAGACAATGAATCATAGAGGTAAGACAGTTTAATAACAGTGAAAGGCATTTGCTAGTAACTGAAAGAACACTTTAAGCTCCAGTCATTGACTGCTAAATCGGATCTTTCAGGAATTTCTGGGGCCAGCGAAGAGTAAAGGAGAATTTGGCAAACTCAAATTTTGTTTTGTGGAGAATACTATAAAACAAATGAGCACTCCACTTTGAGAACATTCCTGCTATTATAAGACTTTCACAAGCATTTCTTCATTTTGCCTCATTCTTGCTAATATCCCAAGAATGGAAATCTGTTGAAGGCCTACCTCTGTATCCTTCCTCTAAGTTGGTGGAAGATAGCAGCTGTGAATAAAAAGGGTTGAGCTAATGTGAGAGGAATCTGTTGGCTGCCTCTCTTGGGTGTGCTTGATAATCTATAAATAGGATAGAATTAATATTCGTTTAGTTTCTGGGGATAGCCAATCCAGTAAATGATGGTGTATGCTATACTACATAGCTAAGATTGCATTTAAAATGCTTCTATAAGCCTTAATAGTTGTCCAGGTATGAAACATGTTTCTAAAAGTGCTTATATCTTTTTAAAACAAATTCTTGTTAATAGTTAAATTCATTAGAGATGTATTTTGAAATGTACTTATGACTACAATTTATAACTATATTAACTTTTAAAATATTTTATTTTCACAGTCCAGAAAAAGCTTTGAAGGATTCACTACAACCCTATGAGGCTGCTTATCTCTCAAAATCCCTATCTCGACTCTTCGATCCCATCAATTTGGTTTTTCCCCCTGGTGGGCGTAATCCTCCTTCCTCTGATGAGCTTGATGGCATCATTAAAACTATAGCAAGGTATGTGTTTCTTGTATAATAGCATGTCAGGTTGTCTGCCGTGTTTACCAGTGGTGGTACACTTTTAAATGTACCTCAAAATAAATTATTTAAGTAATTAGGCTTTCAATTAAATTGAGTTTTATAATGAGTGAGTGTTCACATAGTACTTGAGATTCCAATCAGTAAAGCAATTTAAATATAGACACAGTATGTAGATTGCAGAAATCATCTTTTGTGGCTGGGTGGTGGTGCTGCATGCCTTTTATCACAGCACCTGGGAGGCAGAGGCAGTTGTATCACTTGAGTTCAAGGCAACCTAGTCTACAGAGCAACTTCCAGGACAGGCTCCAGAGCTACAGAGAAACTCTGTCTCACACACACACACACACACACACACACACACACACACACACACACACACAAAACAAAAACACAAAACCATCTGTTATATTTAATTTGTATCTTAGCAAGGTAAAATTAAATATAGCTCTTTATATTCTACTAACTTCCTACCTAGTATTAAATAGGAAAACAACTCTAAATAATTGTACTAACTGAAAACCAAAGACAGAGCTTTTAACCCAGAAAGCACTTCATGATAGAAATGGGATTAATAATTCTGATTGGCCTACCTGTGTAGCAGGCTTTCTTTTTGGCCACCAACCAGCTCCCAAATCAAGACACACAGACTTATTATTAATTATAAATGTTCTGCCTTATCTTATGCTGGCTCCACTAGTTCTTATAACTTAATTTAACCTGTTTCTGTTCATCTACGTTTTCCCTTTAGGATTTTCACCTTTCTTTCGTTCTGTCTGACCTACTCTGTGTCTAGCTGGCTGGCAGCTTCCTGGCTGGCTAGCCCCACCTATCCCTCTACTATCTTGCTATTGGCTGTTCATGTTTTTATTCGACCAATTGGATGCCTTAGGCAGGCAAGGTAAAACAGTAACTCATCTTTACATAATTAAACAAATGCAGCATAAACAAGTGTAACACACTTTTATATAGTTAAAGTAATTTTTCACAATATACTCAAGTGTAATGCGTTAAGCCTTCCAAGTGGATGTGAGTTGCTTATAAACTACAAAGGGAAGGTATCCAACAGAGGTTTTTTTTGTTTTTGTTTTTGTTTTTGTTTTTTGCAATTGCAGACAAATGCAGTTGCATTGTGGCTTCAGAGGTAATTCCAGTCAGATTACAGGTTAGAACTACAGTCCCTTTCATAGCTGGCAAGCTGTCGTAACAGTCAGTCTGTATTTTCATGATTAACGTTTTGAGAAATAAAAATAGTGAGTGACTGGGCAGTATAGAACCTTTAGGTAGAATTGTTTAGGTTCTTTCAGCCCACAGATTTGAAGATGGCACTTTATAGATGTGATATGGATCTGCATACCTGTAATTGTGAGTGTACCTGTATAGTGAGTGCTTCAGCTGACCTACACCTCTCACCATGTACTTTGACCTGACAAAGTCATGATGGTATGCTTCTCACCTTAGCAACTGTCACCTTCCTCATGTGTTCCTAGTAGGCAAGGTGCTGCATTCACTTAGTCTCTGTAACCCAGCTCTGTAAAAACCAGGGAGGTTGGCCATCGAGGCTGACAGTGCTATGGTCAAATACTATCTGGGGTTTGACGAAGGATGTTTATGCCAGTGTATAATAAAATGTAAAAGTGAGCAGTTTCACTATTACATGAAAGGGCATTTTGTCATGTGTTCTATATACCAGTGTTATTTCAAACCCTCAGTTTTGTTTTTGTTTTTATTTTGAGACAAGGTCTCTATGTAGCCCTGACTGTTATAGAACTCTCTATAAATAAACCAAACTGACCTCTAACTCACAGAGATCTGCTTGTCTCTGCTTCCCAAGTACTTAAAGCCAGCCAGGGCCTTGCGGTTTCTTTAGTTTCTTAAAAAAATTAGTCTGGCAAGTGTCAAAATTTCATAAACTTCATGGTTTTCATAATATTTTTAACTCTTGTTCTTCTTTCAATGGTTTTTGAGAAAAAATGTCCTCTAACCTTCTATAGTCAAATCAAATGTCCTGTCTGTTCAGTGTTAAAGTTGACATTGAACATGACAGAGAAATACTTAAGAATCTAAAATTTTAAACATTAAAATTATAGTCCTATGCTATCCATATATTGAAAGTTATTCTTTACAAAGCAGAATCAGCTGGCAGAGTTTATACAGAACCCAAGTGTCCTTATATGCCATATGTAATTTATATGTTTAGCCTACGTCCCTCCAAGGTCATCATCTTCATTCAAGAGCTGTCATTTCCTTGCAGATGTCTGTGACATGCAATGCTGCTAATTGTACTTATCAGTATTAGCAAGAGTGCTACTTTCAATCTGTACACAATTTACTCTCTTAATCACAGACTGAGTCCACACATGGCTTGCTTTTATTACTGTGAAACTGATCATTAACAAAGATATCTCAAACCCTGTTTTTCTAATGGTGCATTTAGGGAGAAAAGTGAAACATTGTAACCAATTCCTGGAAAAGCAATCAGTAAAGTCTATATAGAGATTCAGCATCTTTCTTATTGATGCTCATTACTTTGTTGATGAATTATGTTACTAATAATTGGTATCTGCTTTTGTTTTCTCTAGTGAACTCAATGTAGCTGCTGTTGATGCAAACCTCACATTAGCTGTGTCAAAAAATGTAGCGAAGACCATCCAGTTATATGGTGTGAAATCAGAGCAGCTTGTAAGTGGTATCCCTTTATTCATAAATTTTAATGATTTGGCTAAAAATTCCTAGTTATATGCTCTTTACGTGACCATAATTAACATTATAGCAATTAAATGATCCATTTATACTTACATGTGAATTGTTCTAGTTGGTTTTGTAATAATTTTTAGAGTAGCATGCTAAGTAATTTACGTGAACTGACCCACAATGGAAATTATATTATGAAGCTCCCTCCTTTCAGTTCCAAATTGTGTTTGCTAATATGGTGCAATTTTCCATTCATTTGTACTTGTGATTGTGACATAATTTAGAAGCATCTTTCTTTTTTAAGCTTTGTTTATTGAAAAAGAGACATGAAGAGACACAGGAGAGCCGTTGGTAGGCAATGAGATGACTGTTTTTTCTTTCAGACCTTATTTGTAGATTTTCATAGCTTAAAACACACACAAACATGGTTTATTGCCATAAATAAAATTTCATGTTGTGTCTAGGAGAATTTAGTGTAGCTACTTAGTGCCAGAAAGACGTCCATATGAGATGGCCCTAACAGAGGGTAAATGTGATAAGACAGAGCAGGCCCTGCATAGAGAATACTTTGCTTTTTATTGAGGGCAGGTTGAGGAGTGGGAAGGAGACAGTAGTCATAAAAATATATATATATAGTGGGGCTGCAGAGATGGCTCAGAGGTTAAGAGCACTGCCTGCTCTTCCAGAGGTCCTGGGTTCAATTCCTAGCAACCACATGGGAATTGATGGGCTCACAACCATCTGTAATGAGATCTGGTGCCCTCTTCTGGCCTACCGGTATACGTGTAAGCAGAACACTGTATACATAACAAATAATAAAAGAAAAACACAAAATCTCATTGAAAATATATAGCTTTAATTAATGCAATAATGACAAAGGGCTTTGAAAATGGAAACTATATTAACTAATGATTGATTCTGTGCTGTTGGTGACAATCTGTGGCCTGAAATATCTTAGTCCTCCCTAAACAATGGTGAAGACTAATAAAAAGTCATCATTTCCTTTTTTAATAGAATTCTTTCTCTGTCTAAAATAATTTTACTTTTCAACCTTCATTTTATTGGCTCAAGGAAGCTAGTCATTAAATAAAATTACAAAGAACATCATTTATTATAAAACATATTACTAACAACTGGTTAGTTACTCTTAGTTACTATTTCTTTCCAGTAAATAACACTGTTCTGCCATCCTATTTTTAAATTATGACACATTTCCTTTTTTATTTTGAAATTATGGTTATTGATTTATTTGTGTATATGTGCATGCCCTCAAGTGCACAGTCACATGCCACAGTGTGCATGTGAGAGTCCCGAGTGTGCACTGTGTGTGTGTGAGAGTCCCGAGTGTGCATGTGAGAGTCCTGAGTGTGTTCTTTCCTTCTGCTCAGGTCCTTGGGTGTAACAGTCAGCACCTTACTACTGTGTCTCTCTCATGTTCTCTTCAGTTCTCTCAGAGTCTTCTAGAATAGAGTCACTAAAGCATTCAGAGGAAAAGAGCCAAGTACAAAGTTTTTGGTCAAAGGACAGTTGGAAACATTTTTAAGTAGAATAAACCATCCTGGGTATAATTGGAAATGTTGATAGGAGATTTGAGATAAAAGTGAAATCATTAAATAATGGATTATTTTTGTAGTTGAAAATATAAAGCTCTAATCCTCAAGGTCAAAAAGTGATAGCAATGAATTCATTGATGAAATGTTGAAATAGTAAAATAAAAACAAACTGAAATTTAAATTTAAAGACCATGCATTCAGACAGTATGGTTTCAGAACACACTTGAAATGTACAGCAAGCAGCTCTCCAGAATCTAGGTGTACTTCTCTAAATATTGCAAGTTTCTTGGCTACCAAAACACTTTAATGAATGGACTTATTGCTTTAATTCATATCAGGAAAAAAGCTAATAAAAAGGATCTGCAAGCTGATTTTTAGTGTTCTGTGATGTTGCAGAGTATAACACATATTTGTAACACATTAGAGGGTCATGGGTATGACTTAGTAAAAGTTTTTGCCATGCAAGCATGAGGGCTAAGGTGGCCTGCAGGAGGTAGAGATGGGACCCTGGAGCAGGTTGGCTAGCTAGACTAGTTGAGTTTGTGAGCTCTAGATTCAGCTATTCAAGTAAGAAATGCTGTTGTGTGTGTGTGTGTGTGTGTGTGTGTCCGTGTGTGTGTCCGTGTGTGTCCATGTCCATGTCTGAGAGTGATCAAGGAAGAAATTTGCTGTCAACATCTGGCCTCCATATTTGCACACATACAATGCATCTACACACATGCAAGCCCATGTACACTCAAGTACATACACAACACACACTGATATTAATGCAAAATAATTTACATTTTATAATCATAAATTATCAGTACATGTATGTTTACCTGTAACTGGAAGTTTCTCTCCTGCCCTCCAGTTCCCCAATAACGACTCAGAGGTTTAATATTAATTGCAAACTGTTCGGCTTGTTAGCTCAGGTTTGTGATTAATTAGTTCCTACAACTAAACTAACCCATTTCTGTTAGTTTATGTTTAGCACGAGGCTTGTAGCTTGTTAGCTCACATCTTGCTTCTCCAGCTGCTGCTGGAGTCTCTCAGATTCCACCTTCTTTGCTTGGATTTCCTGCCTGGCTCTCTTCTGCCTGGCTGTTGGCCAAATCAGCTTCTATATTAACCTATGGTAACAAAATATATTCACTACATGCAGAAAGACATTCCACATCAATTACCACCTAGGACTTTGCTGTTATTATCAAAGGTATGTATAATGTAAGCCTATATCTTTATAAGAATGAATCTTTAAGTCTTTTTTTTTTTTACCAGAAAATCCACTTTTTTCTTGTATTTTTGAAACACAGTCACTTGTCTTGACTTGTTATGTAACCTAGTCTGATCTGTGTTCCTTAACTTAGCAAACTTACCATCTGTCTTAGTCACTGTTGTGTTGCTGTGAAGAGGCTCCATTGCCAGAGTCCAGCTCCAGTGAGGTTCAGGTCCCCAAGAGGAGGTGTGGAGTCTGCTAAGGAGGGAAATTGACATGTTCTGAGGGGGAATCGGGGTGGCTGCCCATTTATTGAAAAGAGGCTGTATCTTACATGCTATTTATAGTTTAATTGCATATAGTTTAACCACAAGCAATATTGAAAGCAGACTTTGTGATTCTAGGGTAAAAGCGGTCATCATTTTTATTACAGTATTCCTCTTGAAGCAAAAAAACAATAAGCTTAGCCATTATCTAAATGTCTATTGTCCTTTAAGGTTCAGTAACCCCGCCAGGTGCCCTCTTATACTTCCCGTTGCACAGTCTCAGCCTTTGTGATCAGGAGGGGATCAGACATTGAGTCATGAGAAACAAACCCATAAGAGCAATTTTCATTTCTCAAGGGGCATGATGTAGTGTTTGTACCATGAGCACAGCAAGCATTGAGCTGTTTCCTAATTGCACTCCTCTGTGAGTCCTATAATCAGAGCCTGCTCACCTCATACCATCTCAAAAAGGAAGGTCCTGACATCTTACTTCTTTTCCATTATACCATACCATCCTGATTTCATCAATGTATACTCCTGTAAATAACAGAGGAATATCAGGCCAGTCTAAGTTCTTAACAGAATGTGTTCCCTGTGGAGCATACATCCAGTAAGCCACCAATCCTGGTTACTATTCTGTACTTATTAACTGAACTCTTGTCCTTAATGGCTGCAGGCTTTGGATCTGGGTCCACTGTTTCTCTTGATTATCTGCTTTTCATTCTTGGAGCCAGGTGTGCTCACTTAGTAAATCTTTAACTTCTCTATTCTTGATGTAATGGGTGTGGGGGACGCTCAATGGGTATTCCTGTGTGGGAGTAGGCAGGGGTATCACGCTATACAGTTCCACATTGGTGGAGATTTTTTCCACCAAAGAATTATTTGGTTTAAAGAGACTGCCATTTTATACATTTCATCCTCCACCAAAGCCCACACAAATTTTCCCAAAAGAACAGGCATAAGGAAATTTCCATAACACATGATGAAAATCACTAAAAGTGAAAGTAAAAAGATACTGAAGAATTGTATTCTGCAGTGTTGAACTGCTGAAACTATGTCACACCATGACCAAGGCAACTATTATAAGAGAAAGCATTTAGTTGGGGGCTTGCTTACAGGTTCAGAGATTTAGTCCATGAACTTCCTAGCAGGGAGCATGGTAATGTGTAGGCACATGCTGGAGCAGTAGCTGAGAACTACATCCTGATCTGTTGGCAGAGAGTGAAACTCTGAGCTTGGCGTGGACTTCTGAAACCTCAAAGCCCACCACCAGTGACACATTTCCTCAAGTAAGGCTACACCTCCTAATCCTCTTAATCCTTTCAAATAATGTCACTCCCCAATTCCGAGACATTCAAATACATGAGTCTGTGGGGGTCATTCCTATTCAAACCACCACACCATTCCAAGTGTTGTCTGGCAGTTCAGAAAATAATAATAGCAATCATTCTTATCATTGTGTGTGTACATGTATGTGTGTGTAGGCATACATGTGCCATGGTGTGTATACGTTGCACTTTATATATAGTCAGTGCTCTCCTTCCACCTATTCATGTATCTAGGGTTGAAATGTGAATTGTAAGGCTTATGTAGCAAGCTCTTTTATCTGCTGAGCCATCTTGCCAGTCCTGAGGATCCACAGGGTAAGGTGGGGGTCACAAAAATAACCACTGTCATTATACACTTATGGTGAAGTCTTGGCTGTGCCAAGCCATTTTCATGTGTTATTTTACAACAATCCCAATATGAAGTGAAAGTATTATTGTCTTAACACTGCAGTCTAAAAATCTAGCCTGAGAATAGTTAGTGGCATTGCCATTTAATATTGCTGAAAGTGCAATGTCAGCAAGCAAGTGTTGTAGCCAGCATCTACACCTAGGCTAGACTGAGCTTTGACAGCATCCATTTCTGACATGTGTCTTCTGTAAAAGCTTTAGGTTGTACCACTTTACAGTGCAATAGGGATCTGTA